ATATATATATATACATATATGTAGACATATACACACACATACACTTGTGTATATACATATACATACATATACATACACATTACATTACATTACATTACATTACATTACATTACATTACATTACATTACATTACATTACAGTTGATTACATTACATTACATTTCATTACATTACATTACATTACATTACATTACATACATACATGCATCATACATACATGCATCATACATACATACATACATACATACATACATACATACATATATGCGTACGTACATACATACACACACACCTACCTAATTACCTACCTGCCTACCTACATACATACATACATGCATACTCCATATATATATATATATATAAAAACTTGTATATATGTGTGTCTGTGCGGAGGCGTGTGTGTGTGTGTGTGGCGCACTCTTGATCGACCACCATGTCGGCGCCCACCAGCTGGGCTTCCACCAGCTGGCTGTTCTTGACCTCCATGAGGACCATGTTAGGGCTGGATTGATGCTGTGTGTGGATTTTTGCGGGGAGCTTAACCGGAACTTATCTAGTTGTGCAAGGGGGCTGTTCTAGAGTCTAGATGAGGACTACCTTTTAGTTTAGGATGAAGGATCCTAATTTAGAAGTGTGATCCGTGAAAGCCAAGGACTTTCACGACAGCCACCCGTTCAGTCCAACGGGAATCGAGGAGCGCGGCCTGAAGATCAACGAGCTCCTCTCGGATCTCGCTGATGCGCTCGCGTACGCCTGAGCGTTGATAACTCGCAGATGACATGAATGAAGGGTCAGACAGCATGGTCTCACTAAACCGGGACTGCTCCAAGTCAGGAGCGCTGACGTTTGAGGATAGCAGAGCCGGATAGCTTTAGGACGAGCAAACGGAAGGTCGGCTGTCCACTGCCAGCCAGATTCTTCACCGAAAGCCATTCTATCTTCTAGTGGTTCTAGTCAGTTCTTCCTCAACATGATGGCACGCGCCAGAACATATGATCCAAGTATGAACCTTAGCTGCCTTGGCGATGCTGACCCTTATGGCAACCCGTATAGGAGCCTTATACTCACCCCTCCCTAAACCCCTAAACCCTAAACCCTAAACCCTAAACCCTAAACCCTAAACCCTAAACCCTACACCCTAAAATGCCTCAAAGGAAGCCCTAGGAATGTGGCCCCGAAGTCTTCGACTCCCACGGCATAGCAACTCTGTTTAGGGTTTAGGGTTTAGGGTTTAGGGTTTAGGGGTTTAGGGTTTAGGGTTTAGGGGTTTAGGGTTTAGGGCAACTCTGACGGTACCGCTCTTCTGTCGTGCACGGCATTACTTTCCACGTTGCAATTAGGCTGCCTCCCGGAGTTATGGGGTTAATGTTCAAGCTAATGGTGTATTATATGATATAATATTATATATCTTTTTATATTATTACTCTATATATATATATATACATATCTCTCTCGAGGCTTCGGGCTCCTTCGCGGCTTTCTGGGGTTCCGCACGAAGCTTCTTCAGCTCAACGGCGGCCTTGGCGCTATCCTCCTCGGCCTTGAGCTTGGCGTCCTGGCTTTGGAGTGGGGCTTCTGGGGTTAGGCTTTGGCCGGGTTTAGGGTTGAGGGTTTGGAATCTTACTTACAGAGATAACCTGCTCACAGCGACAAATGGAGGACAAGTCGACAACAGGATTATGGTAAGAGCTTGGCATTTGGAGTTTCTGTGATGATTTTTCAAGTTATTGCGACACTTGATTCGTTGACCATAAGTGCGAATTTCGCACACGCAGTCTGCACTCCTGGATGGAGTACTGCTCCGGATCCGTGATGTCCGGGTTGATGGCCACCACACCTGCTGGCCAAATCGCATTGCCAAAGTCCACCGCTAGACCAGCACATGCCACTTGCTTGCCCAAGATTAGAGCCTTTCCGATGAAGCCACAGTAACGGTGGAGGGAAAAAGGAGGTGAGGGAGACGATCAAACACCTCAGCTCTGCACCGAGCCTTAAGCCGCAACTTCGTATTTTGATCCCCAAGCTTCAAAGCCAGAGTACGAAAAGTGCCAGGCTCCTGGTTGTAGTGGCAGTACTGGTAGTGGTATGTAGTGGTAGTAGTTGTTGTTGTACTAGTAGAAGAAGTAGTTAGTAGCAATCGTAGTAGGAGTAGGAGTAGGAATAGGAGTAGGAGTAGTAGCAGTAGCTGTAGTTAGCCGCAGCAGCAGCAGTAGCAGTTCCGGTAGTAGTAGCCGTCGTCTACCACGACGAATGCCACCTGCCATCCAAAAGTTTGGCTGTGACTGCGTCTTCCTGTTCCTCTCTCTCTCGTTACTGCTGAAAGCAAATGCCGCTTGCATCCCTAAACCCCTACACCCGAAACCCAAACCCCTAAACCCCTAAAACCCTAAACCCCAGTATCTTCATGTACTGCTGCTTACATCTACGTATTGATGTACTGTCACTCTTGCTACAAATACTCACAGAGGCGACCTGCCTGGAGCTTCCTTCGGTGGTAGGCTCCAGCCTGGCACTTGGCTTCGGAAGCGAATCTGATTTGGACATGCAAATTATATCATGTTATATTATGTCAGATTATATATAGGCTATATTATGCTATGCTATATTATAGTATGTTCTAGTATCTTATGAAACAGAATAAAATATGGCTTTGAAGGTTGGAGTTCGATTGCCGAGGCTCCAGGTGAACCATACTTCTGAAACTGGAACACTAGACTTAGGGTTTAGGGCTTAGGGTTTAGGGTTTAGGGTTTAGGGTTTTAGGGTTTACGTTTTGGGTTTAGAAGACTCCGCGTGGTTCTAGAACAGAGCCCTCTTGCGTTCACCAAGAGAGGTTCCTCCATAAACCCTAAACCCTAACACCCCGAATCCCTAAGCACAAGAAGACACCGTGGTGGGCCTTCCATGGAGGTCTCGGGCAGCTCTGGAATGGACTGCTGGAGTTGGTCGCCTTGGACTGGTCGCAACGGTAGTGGAGGAGCACAAGGAGGCGTGGTCGTGGTATTGATAGTGATGGTGCTAGTGGTAGGGTACCGGGTTTAAAGTTTACGGTTTGGTAGTGGTAGTGATGGCGTGTTAACGGCAATCAATCAGCAAAAACTCAATCAGCCATCCATGCACATACCACAAACTGAAACCGCGAACCATTTAGGTATACTTGTCATAGTCATCGCACCTGTGGTAGACCGGTACGAGACAGGACAGCAACATCGGCGTTTCACTCGCTATGGAATTATTGCGTTGGCAATGTCAATGGTGACAGCTCCATAGCTGGGTTAAACACATTTCACACAGTCCTTGAACCACATAATACAACATAATGCTAAGTTATATTGTATCATAAAACAACACATAATGCAACATTATACAGTATAAGATCATATAGGATCATATAATGTAACATGGTACAATATAAAATTCATGGTATGATATAGTATAATACTATATTATCCATAAAAAGACTATAGCATGACAGAGCATCATTTAAAACAGTACAATATTGATATACATAGTTTTATATAACATGCGATAATAGAATATAGTGTAATATAACACGATTTGATATGACATAATACATAACAGTATGCTATAACAGAATGTAATGTAAAAAACATACCATATACTACAGCATAATATAATACAGTTCAATATAATGTAATATATTATGACATGTTATAATACAGTATAGTGTAACAAAACATAATATTGTATATTATAACAGAACAGAAAAGAAGAGAACAGAATAGGATATTTTATAATATAGTGTATATGATACAACTCAGTATAATATAATGTAGTATAGTATAACATATTATAATGTATTATAATGTAACAAAGTATATAATATAATACAACCTAATTCAATATAACCAAACATAGTGTAATATTATGCAGACCTGCTGGGCCTCCTGCCTGCTTCCTCCATGTTCACCTGGCTTGGGGCAGTTATGCGGTTGGGGCGATGGGCTGAGGCCTTAGATCTTACGGATTGGAGAGTAGAGTGGAGACTGTCCTGCAGATGCTGGACGCCCGAAGGTTTCCGCTCAAAACATTGTTTCTTGTGCATCGATTCGCGTTCTTCGCTGGGAAGCTCGAGGCCAATTCGCAGCTGCAAGTGGTGGCGACGGCTCCAAGCGCAGGCACCAATGCAAGAATGCTTCACAACCTTCCGTCCACGATGACCGCCCGCCTCAGCTCCTTCTGCTTTGAGGTGCGCCACGTTGATAAGCTCCTCGCTGACCAGCAGCCTTAACTCTCGAGAACTATCGGCGCAGCGCCCTGCAGCACATGGCCAGTGCTGGTCGGCGTCGACTGTGGGCAGAGCGCACACGAAAGGATGTCACACATAAAGGCCGCTTGAGGACCGCCCGGGTGCACGTACTGAGGGCTAGCAACAACACGACTCCTGCGTCGTCTCTGCCCTGAATCATTCCAGAAGCAAGACTTGTACCCGGGGTTATGTGCTAAAACTGAGAAACAAGAGGGAGGGAGACACCGAGAGAGAGAGAGAGGGAGGGGGAAGAGAGGAGAGAGGGAGCGAGCGAGGGAGACGAGTTGATTCTAAGTTGAGCCAAGAAGCGTCACCAACGAGCCATCCCCTGCCGCCACGACCATCCTGAGTTGAGGGCTTCGCGTGGGAAAGGGTTGAAACTACAGATGCGAAGGTGCACAGCTCAAGCTGCTTAGGACCCGCAACGGAGCTGTAGATTTTGCTTTGCCCAGCCGAAGCCATACCCGAGGCGTGCGCATGGACTCGTCGTCATTCATCTGAACGGAGTTCACCTGGCACATGAAATCTCCGACCAACAAACAGCAGTAAGGTAGTCGTCAGCTCTTCTGCATGGATCTTTCAAGACCAGAAGTACAGGGACCTGGAGATTCGAGTTACACCAGTGCCACGGGCCCCACCACACACAAGTCTTCCAGAAAGATCCCCCCAGTCACGCGCCGCCGAGCTAAAAATTGGTTTGAGGCTTTGTGTACTAGCTCATGAGTCATGCACAGCGCACCTGACACCCTCAACCTAAACCCCCAAACCCAATCCCCTGAAACTCCAAACCCTGAACTCAAATCTACGCCGGCGTCACTGCGCCGCTGATGCCGTCAGAGACGTTGGCGCAGAGGAAGCAGCCAGACATGCGTGGCACCAGCCAGACACGCCTGGGCTCAGCCCAATGTTTCTTTAGGGGCTTCCACAAGGTACTACAAGGGCTTCTGTAAGGAGACGAAATCACATGGAGGATGTAAATCAAGAAGAAGAAGAAGAAGGATTCGAAGGAGGAGGAGAAGACCTGTAGGGTTTGGGGTGTATTTTGCCGCAGTTATCGAAGGACCGGCAACATGGTTCCGAAACAGACAGCTCAACCAACAGGTGGCAAGCTGGGGGGGGGGGGGGGGGGGGTGGTGGAGGTAGGGATGGTGGTCGGTGGTCTTCTCTGCTGGAGCCCGGGCCGAATAAAGCCTCCTGGTGTTCCTGGTTCCTCCGGTCAGATACACCGATAGCTGAAACCGGGATAGGTATCGTTGCACGCATCATCGTCGTGTTTGAGACACCTTCGAAAAGGGGCCACCTCAGTTTTGGCTACGAATGACAACAGTAGAAATGATAGTGACAGCAGCCTTTGCAAAAATAAGCATCAAGCCGTCAAAAGGTGGGCTCAGTAGCGCAATGCTAGAGCGGGGGATATCGAGACTTCCGAAACTCACTTCCAGCCGCACACCAGCACAGGCCGAGAGCGGAACCCATCAGCAAAACCCACGATGATCCAGTTGCCGGCTGGAGAAAGAGACAGGTGAGTCACCTTCAGCCGTGCACAAAACATGGCATTCACAAATACTTCTAGGAACCCCCACTGTGAGCTTCTTTGTGCGATCGTCGAGGACAATTCTTACGACACCTCTTTGCAGATGTGTCGCATTAATGTTCTTGGGCAGCTTTGACCGCAGCATGCAGGACAGCTGAGTGGATATCCGCTCGGACAGCGGCACCTTGCAGGGAGCATGCATGTCGCCCTGTGCTCCGAAGACTGCTCCTCTGTCAAAACTGGCCTATAAGCTGGCACGGGGGCCTTGAGAAATAGATTTGGGATTTGGGGTGGTCCGGAATAGAAGGGGATAGTATTAGTATTGCTGTAATTCTTACGACCTCATTTTTTCAGCAACTTGGATCCGACCCCCTCCAACCTCGGCGGCCCGGGTCTCCTGTAAGGGCTGTGTGACTTCCAGCATGGTTTCGGGTTTAGGATTTAGGCCTTTAGGGTCTAGGGCTTTAGGGTTTAGGGTTTGGGGGCTTTAGGAGCACCTGACACTTCATACCGAGTTCTGCACAGAGATCCTCTATGGACCAGTAGCGCTTCTTCGAAGTATCAACATTTATCGTTGTACCATCCACCATGCGCCATGCGCTGAGCTGAGCTTCGGACGCTCGCTTCACAGACATGGCAAACCTACATTATTTGCTTTGGTGTCGCACGGCAGTACAAGTGACAGTACATGTAGTAGCAACACCAGCGGTAAAGGGCAACAGCTAACTCAAAGCTGGAACAATAACCGAGTCAGCAACAGTCACGAGCAACAATGATAGTAGCTCATGATCATACGACCGTGCGCCATCATTCGAACACATGTGCTGTCAGTGCACTCGTGACACCAGCACGGTGAGACAACATGAGTCAACATGCCGAATGTCATCTTCTAGGACGTGCGCGCACTCCTGGATACCGAAGAGGGAGCACTCCCAGAGACCGCCGGTATACTTCCCGGTGCCGGTGAAGATGATCCGCCGCTCCGAGTCATCCCCTTAGCATGCAGGACCCTCGCGTAGCCTGGTGCCAGAACGGATCTATCGTCTAGCCCGAACCTTAAAGCCCCAAGCAAGAGAATCCTCTCAGTCCAGTCAAGCATGGATGCGCCTGTAGAGCCAGTCGGCACACGTGTCAGTCAAGTAAACCGCCCTCGTGTACCCAACCGGCCGGACTGGCAATTTGGCTCGGGCTCACACCCTCACCAGGAATGTAGATCGCTCGCGAGACAGATGTCACGATGACCTGCTATGATCTGCAATGTTGAGCTAAGGACCAAAAGTAACAAGCCATGACCAGGGGGTTCATATTTGCGTTGGGAACACCGGTGCAAATGCCAAACTCCAGGTTTACGTTCACGGGCCTCCTTCTGCCCCTCGCCGTCGTCGTCATCGTCTTTTGTCTTCTGCTCCTTCTCCTTGCGTGGCACGGACAAATCTGAGACTCCGCAAGGAATCCAGTCAGGCTCAAGTACTTCGCTGGAGCAACAAAACACACTTGTGCCATTGGAGTGTATCTCATGTGCCGACACTCCTGCTTCGAGGACCCTGGCTCCTAAACCCTGAAGACACAGCACGAACCTTCTTCTTTTTCTTCTTCTTTTTCTTGCCCTCCTCGTCCATGTCAGCCTGGCGAGGCGGGCAATCGCTTCGAAAGGACTACCACTGACCAAGCTCTCTTGACAGCGCGCCCACTGGAAAACTCCGCCGCTTGTCGAAACGGTTCCGCCCCCATCCAATCCAAACAATTCAAGACCTTCATCCTATCCCAGCACGATCGAACATAGATAAAGATGCGAGTGGCCATCAAGGCACGAACCAGCCTCACCCTCCGTCTCTGCTGGCTGCTCCTTCAGCGACTTGGCATTTGGAGTTGTGATCATATCACCATCATCACAAAAATGCATACCGTATGTGTAGGAGCAGTCACCAAACAATAGTAGCAGCTGCTGCTCTTGTAGCAGTAGCGACAGCAGCATCTTTAGCAAACCCTCATCGAGCCGAGAACCCAAGTCCTTCAAACGCAGCTCAGCCCTGGGACCGAAGCTTCAAACGCCCATCCTTCCGCCTCAGCCTCTAGGTTTTCCAGGCGCTGGCACCCTCCTCTCGAACCCGGAAACCTTCCGAAGCCCTGAGCCATATTGCCATATTGATTCGCTGCTATATAGCGGTAGGCTACACAGACGTATGATCTACGACAATGTAAGACTAATCCTACAGGGCTTCGCAAGATCAAAGCAAGAAAGTCAGGTAAGACTGGGCCAACTTCGCAAGGTGCATAATGCTGCTGAAGCTCGTGAAGGACTGCTATGAGCTCATACCATGATCCACCAAGCACAAAAACTGTATGAAAAGACTAACAATACCAACTGAAACGTCGTACCACATAGGCCCCCAAGTCTGCAAATCCCTAAACCCTAAACCCCTGAACCGCTCACCCCTGAACCCGAGACCTAAACCTGTAAATCCCCAACCCCAAGCCCGACTCGACTAAACCCTAAACCCTAAACTTGGCCCTAAACCCTAAACCCTAAACTTGCCCCCAAACCCTAAGCCCTGAACCCTACCAAAACCCCCTACCAAGGCCCTACCAGGCCTCCGCAGTGGGCGAGGCTTCGCCGTCCCCTTCGCCTTCTTGGGCCTCTTCCTCCTCCTCGTTTAGGGTTTAAGGCTTTGGCGGCTTTAGGGCTTTCGGGTTTACGGTTTCAGGCTCTAGGAGTTTAGGGCCTAAATTCCTAAAGGCCTAGTAAAATTTAGGCCTTTGGCTTTAGGCTTTAGGGTCTTAGGGTCTAAGGCTTTTGGAGTGTTCGGGATGTGGAGCTTGGGGCCTGGGGAGATTGCGACAGAAAAGGTTGAGGCCCTGGGATTTACGGCTTTTGATCTAGGCCCCGGGCTCCGGGGGTTGGGGCCTAGGGATCAACTGAGCTTGCGTTTTGTCATCGCTTCGGGAAACGTGGCTCGCGGCCTTGCAAGGCTTTGGTCGCCTGCCTACAGGACGGCCAATGCCCAAGGCAAGTACGGTCACGGCCAATGTCTGCTTCTGAATAAATTTCCGGCACGGTCAACCCCACCGAAGAACCCCAGACATGTCGTGCGGAGGAGCCTCGTCCTCTTCCTCATCGTCAGAACTCAGCCAAATTGAGCTTTCAACACACCCGGCCCCAGACTCCGAGATTGGCATGAGAGTGTGCGCATGTTGCCCTGGCATGCGGAGAAAGGGATCTGGGCACCATCGTCATATGTCGTCATGTACAAGGCTTTCCATCCCCTTTAGCTAGGTAGCAGATGTGGGGCGCGAAGGTTCAACATTCGTGCTTTCTTCGATGCCACTCGCAGCCCCTGCGTTCCTGACCCAGGGACCCTCGCAGCATGCCGACTTTGAACCGAACAGGAAGTGTTGGTCTGAGTGCTGAACTCTTCGATCTCAGGGACATCCGGCATGACGGAGATATAGTTCACCGAAATGTCGTACCTCGTGCACAAGGTCGCACCGTGGCTTTACTCACAATATCTCACAATCAGGACATTGCAGTCTAACTTCAATGGCAAAGCTCACATCCGATCCGAGCAGAACCGAAAGTCTGGGACCATCCCAGCAGAAATCGCCCTCCCGCAGATGTCGCACGACTCCGTGTTGTCGACCGACTCCGGTATCGGACTCTTGAGGACCAGCAGAGATCCTTTGGAGTGCTTCTGGCTCTAAGGCTTCCAGAGTCTAACCCCTACATCCGCAGGCCTGAGCAGGGGTCTATGAATGAGGGTGGGCTGGAGTTTGCCTTTGGATTCATCCTTTTTGTCTGGACTCCTTTCTTTGTGATGTCGGCACCAGGACGAGCGTCAATTTTGGGCCTTCTAAGCAAGTTGGGCTTGGGTTCATACAGCAGCAGAATCGCGGGAATGTGGGACTCCGAAATGTTCGCCATCTGAAAGAGTAGCCACCTGCGTGGTTTGACCAAGGTCCAGGCCGTCGCCTAAGCTGAGCAGCACATTGCCTCTCCGTGGAAGCGAAACCGCAACAAGTGGGAGACGGGAAGTTGTGCAAAGACCCATCTCTAAGCCGGAGCACTCAAAGTCGACCTCCCCCCGCCTGAGGTGTCATCCCAAGCGAAGAAGTTCACTGTAGACGGGATCGACACAAATCCAACAGGGATGGCCTCAGATGAAGGTTTGAAGTTCCTGAGGCTCTGCTGCGTGTGGTAGCGGCTCAGAGTACAGGTGTTACAGCTGCCCACCCCACCAGCACAAGACGTCTTTAATTAAAGCCTCGTAGGGCCTGGATAGTAGTCACGGATGGTCAAGGGGCTTGTACCCCTCCAAAACACCTACACCTAGCACTTGACCCGTTTGTGGCTTAAGGGGACAACCTGTAATCGTGAGTGACATGATGGGTTCTATCTGTGGACTCGGTACGAGTGTGGCGGAAGGGTCCGCTTGCAGCCAACATACCCAACTTGCAGTCCGAGCTCCTGTTCCACCGTTTAACCCTAAACCCAGCCACAGACACAACCACCCTGAACCCCCGAACAACTCGCTGAATCCTAAACCCTTCGAGCAGTCGTGCCCGAGGTCGCCACATGCTCCGAGAGCATCTGCACCTGGAAGAAGAACACCGAGTTGTCCTGGCTGAAAAGCTGAAGGACGCTCGGTTCAACCCCTCGCATGTGCCGCCGGTACCGTGCTATCCGAATCCAATTGTCTTGCTACTGCATGTCATGTGGTCACATGATTTGAGGTGGCTGGGCCTCTCCAAGCGTTGCCATCAAGCCCGCGTCTTCTCCACTGTACCTGGTAGGAGGGCTCTGAGATCTTTCAAGATCAGAGGCAAAGCTACGGAACTGAAATTTAACTCGCAGATTTTCAGTTGGGGGTGCCAAAGACATCTCACTCAATGACAGCGTAGGATTCAGCCGTTTCTACTGGTATCGGACCTGGCAGTCCAAGCATAGAAGGCAACCCTGCCGCTGAAATGCACGAGCTTTCTCAGGACGCCACTTGAGCTGCTTCACCATGCACTTGTGCGGTTTCAACGCCTTCGGGCCACGGCATCTCTCTATCCTTCACAAAACCCCCAAAGCCCCGACCCCAAAAACTAGCAACGACACACACCCCAACCGACCCCAACCCCAGCCGTCCCCCTAAAGAGCTTAGACCCGAACACCCTACAATAACCTCCCCTCACCGCACCCTATGAACAGCCCGAATTGCTTGGCCGCTCCGAGACGTTTTTCCAGCGCCTGGGTAGTTTTCTAAATTAGGGTCCCTTTGGGGGTCCTTCTTATAAGGGTGCCGTACTATATTGGGGACCTAAAAAGGGACCCTAATGGGACCCTAATTTAGAGAACTACCCGCCTGGAGCTGCAGGAAGCCGTCAGCGCAGGCGGTAAAGGCACGGATGGTGCCATCCTCAAGGATTGCTAGATGCAAGAGGTATCGCAGGCCCTAACTCTCATACCACAGACTGGTTGCTTGCATTACAAAATAATACGGCGGTGGGCTGTGATTTACGGCTTCCTCCGCAACTTCAACCCTAAGGGTTCAACGTCAGACTGATAGACAGTAAAATATAATAATATAACATAACATACTATAATATAATATACCATAATATACTATAATATACTATAATACAATATAATATACTAGATGCTTCGCATGGCGAGGAGATCCACGGACCCCACGGTGTAGCCGACGCAGACGGTCCGCTTGGATGGGTCGACCTTCGCGGGAAGCTACCCCAGAGCTCTTTGCGATCACGCGCCGAAACCTCTGCGGCTCTCGGCCTAAACTCTAAACTCTAAAACCCACGAAGCCCTGAACCCAAGCCTACTTAGTTCTTGGATGCTAGAATTCCAGTGGCCCATCGACTGGGCTCCCCACAAGCTCTGGGGTCGCATCGATGCCTTTCAAGGTCAGGATGTGTACTAATAACGGTTCAACGACAGACCTGGTATGTATCTATCCATCTGTATGTGTGTGTGAGTGCATGTGTATGTATGTGTATATATATATATATGTATATATATATATACAGATATATATATATATTCACGTATACATGTATGTGAATATGAGCACATACATACGTACATATATATATATATATATATGGTCGCCCTCTCCCCCCATGATCTACCATCGGATGGGTCCGGAGAGTGGGAGGAACACGCGTAATGCAACTGAAACTGCAAGCCGGAACATATGTGAGTATGGGTATGTATGTATGTATGTATTTATGTATGTATGTATGTATGTATGTATGTATGTATGTATGTATGTATGTATGTATATAGGGCTCTGGGATCGAGCTCCTTTGTGAGCATAGCCCGAGGCCCCAGTGAGTACAACACTCACGTAGCAGCTATTCGCTCCCCGCCGTGGCACCGGCGCTTGCGTGCCAAGAGATCCAAACTACGACTTGCCGTGCACACGGCAAGATCACTGGGCCTGGCCCCGCCGCTCAGGGCCCTCCACACCCTTGCGAGCCACCACAGCAAGCCGAAGTTCCGCGAATTGATGGGCGGACGGGGGCGCGACAAATGGAGCGGCAGACAGCAAGGCCGCATGGACAACTGGGAGTGGCAGCAGCAAGGTGCCTCCTCCTCTGCGCGTGGCTACAAGGGTGCTGGCAAATGGGGACAGCCACCACAAGGACGCCGACAGCGAGAGTACCCGAGCGACGGACCAAGCTACTTCCCGAGCTTCGAGGAGATGCAGCCGCGGCAGCAGCAGTCCCGGGGATCGGGAGCAGCCGAGCCGGAGGTTGGAGTGCCGGTGGTCACGGACTACATGAACGGTGTGCAGCGGATCCTGAACAGTTACCGCAAGGCGGAGGGCCGTGCCAGGAAGCTCGAGGAGCTCCGAGACGACACGGACGCAAAGTGGG